AGGAAGGAAGGAAGGAAGGAAGGAAGGAAGGAAGGAAGGAGAGGAACACCTGCCTTGGGTGGAGAATTAGGCAATGCAAGTCTTCCCTGGAGTGATTCAGTCTGAAGGTGATTTGATCAAATTACCCTTTCAAAACAGATCCATGAAGATCTGCAGGGCTTTTATCCACCAAACCACATACTAACCAGACCACATACTATATTGGTTTGGTTAATTTTGCTTTATATTATATATATATGGGGGGGGGAGAGAGAGAGAATGAGAGAGAAGGGACTGTCTATTAATTTATTTACTCATTCATTCATTCATTCATTCATTCATTCATTCATTCATTCATTCATTCTCTGATTTTCGACTGAACCAAATACTCAAGGCAGCTGTCGCTAGGTTTAAAAAACTGAAAAGTGAAAACGAAAATGAAAATCCATTTTAAAAGAGATACGTTTTGCTGTTTGATTCAATGCCAAAAATAGGGGGAGTGGGAGAAACATCATCATAACTCCCAAGGAATTGTATTCCACATGGAGGGAACAGTCATGTCATGCATCGCTTGAGATTTTTGCAGAGGAAAATCAAGACAGATGTGTGACATTTTGATTCTCCTATCAAGGACTTCTGGGCACATTCTTTGTGACCAAGTACCAGTCATGTTCAAAAGTTCTCCTTTGCCCCTAGCCCCCCCCCCTTTTTTTTTTTGCTGCTATCATTTCTTCTGCCATTGCCTCCTTATCACCTGTTTAAAATCAGGGGCTGAGAAACACACATATTCTTTTGTGACTTCCGGATTGGCCCAACTACCTTAATGTAGATTGTGGAATTTGTCCTTCGGGTGAAAGATACATTAGCAGGATGACTCAACTTCCCAACAAAGGGCAACAGGTTGTTCAAAATACACTTTGGCAACTGTCCTGAACAAGAGGTGCACTGCCTTCTCTTTGGGTTGATTCAGGCTTGTTGGGATAAGTTTCCCAGAGACAGGTTTTGGCTATACATGGGGGAGAGACGTCAAACACAGTTTAACCTTGGAACCCACTTCCCAGACGTGTGGTGGATTCCTCTCCCTCAAGGCCTTCAAATGGTAGTTGGGCTCCCATCTGTGGAGGATGCTCTATATCTGTATCACTTGAATTAAAAAGCAGGTAGGGCTAGATGGTGTCCAGGACGTACTTCAACTCTACAGATGTAGTGTGATGTAGCAGTTAAGGAATTGGGCTGGAACCAAGGCGGCCAAGGTTCAAACCCTCATTCACCCAGCCACTATCTCTCACCCCAGCCTACGTCAAAGGTTACTTAAGAGGATTAAAAGATATGCATGACTTTTGAGCACTATAAGGAAAAGATAAAATTATAATAAATGCATAATCCATAAACAAATGCAGGAAAGAGGCAGTCATAGAAAGCTTTTAGCTTATACAGAAGTTTATGTTGGAAAGGTTATGCATTTTCTGAGGCAAGGGGATAAAAGGGATTGCTGTAAGACAAAACTGGAGCCCATTCTATTTATTCCTTCTTTTTGACCACCATTATCAACCTATCACAGTGATGGGGAACCTATGGCATGTGACACGCCAGCGTTCACCAACACTTGACAACAACTATCCTCCCTGTTTGAGTTACCAAAGAAACTGAGATAGTTTTACTCCTATTTCGTTTTTGTAATCATTGGATGTCTCTTTCTATAATACATAGCACCACACATGATTGGACTGTATTTTTTTTTAAATAAATGAATATGTAAAGAGTTACTTTTCTTTTGCTGGGGGGAGGGGGGGTGACACACCAGCAGAATCAAGTTAGGCATTTTCCGAATGTTTGACATGCCGAGCCCAAAAGGTTCGCCATCACTGACCTATCACATTTCTTTGTAGGTCTCTGATTCCAAACAGTTTGCTCCTTGAGATAGAGATAGATGGATAGATTTATATATATTTATATTTTTAATGGCTTCTTTTTAGGAAGTGACAGTGGAATCGGTCATGAGCTCGCAAAGTACCTTGACAGTTTAGGATTTACTGTATTTGCCAGTGTTTTGAATGCAAAAGGACCCGGTGCAAAAAAGCTGAAGGAAACCTGTTCAGAGAGACTTTCCATCCTGCAACTGGATGTCACTAGTTCTACGCAAATAAAGGAGGCTTATCTTGAAGTAAGACGGAAGTTGCAAAATGCAGGTATCTTCGGGTTTGCACATATCCTCCCCTTTGTGATCTTCATTCTTGTTGAAGTGACATTTTGCAAAGATCCAGAAATGAGGTGTGTTGATTTTGGCCTGAGAATCCAGTCATCTTTCAAAATCAGAGGCCGACATCAACATTTACCTCTTTCGACTAGCTGATGGAATGAATGAAATTAAGATAAAAGATCTCCATTAACTCAGTTGCATGAGATCAACTCAGTGATGGTGGCTACAACTTGGATAATTGCCCGTTGCTGACTCTTGTCCAGGATCTGCAGTCTAGATATTGAAAAACCTTACAGCCACCCACTGTGGTCCAGCAAAAATGGTCAAATATCGACACTGTGACATCCTAATGCTGCTGTTAACAAACAATGGCCTACCTAATGTTTGAAACATGATCAACCCTAATATTTAGACATAAGGTTTGGGGGTAAAGATCTAATTTATGTTTTTCCCTTTCTTCTATCTCAGATACTCTCTGTTGTTTACAAGTATCTGTGTTATGTCTGTTCACACCCCTTTGTGTTCAGTGGGGTCATTGCTTATTAAAGCTACTTTGGACTAGCAGAGTCTTTACCTTTTCCTTTAATCTACAAATAATCATTGGGCTATTGGAAAATCTGAAACTGCTGCTTCTTGGGAACCCAGGTCTTCTTTTGTCCTGACATAGTTGCTTTAAAAAGTAGGTGAAAGAGAAGCGTTTGATAAGACATACAGTAGACGCAAAGCATAAAAGGAAGGAAGTAAACTGGGAGAAGCCTGGGATTCCTTCCTGCAGCAAGAATTCCATAAGTCACTCCTTTGCTCTTCCTTTCTTTCTCCCCACCAGACCTTTGGGGTGTTATCAACAATGCAGGAATATTGGGGTTCATAGCTGACGGCGAATTGCTTCCTATGAGTTCTTACAAGCAGTGCATGGATGTAAATTTCTTCGGCCCTGTTGAATTATCCAAAACATTCTTACCGTTGCTTCGGAAATCCAAAGGAAGGCTTATTAACATTTCAAGCCTGGCAGGTGAGTTATGCCGGCGTGTTCCAGCAATTTGTAAATTTACAGACTGCCACTTGGGTTTGATTCTTCTCCGTGAACTGCCACATTTCTGACACATTAGAGTCGCCATGCGGGAGGCTTCCAAATTAATCATGAATCTAGGGATCAGACTGCAGAAAAACGCATATATGTCAATGCTAAACAATTGAGCTATCTAACATCCAAGGAAGATTTAGTTTGGCAAGTTTGGGTTATCTCATTTCTAATCTAGAAGTATTTATAGCCAAGTCAAGGCCAAAACTGCAGGAAAAAGGGGCGTGTGTGCGTGTGTGTTTACGTGTATTTTGCCACTTCGCAAACTAACATTCATTTATCTTTGGAAATTTGTACTTCTCTGAGTATCGCAATGGAATTTGCCTTTGGCAAAAAAAAGAAAAGAAAAGAAAAGAAAAAGAAAAAACCATTAGAGAAAGGCATGCATTTCACATATTCATGAAAATAATGTATAAAAATACCTTTTATTAGAGTACATTGCTTACAAAAACGACTTCCCATGGATTCTAATAAACACAATGCAGACATTTCATCAAATATATCAATTAAAATGAGACCTCCTTTCCTACGCTTAACAGGAATATATATTTGCTGGAAGACTTTCAGATTCCCTTTCTGACAGTGGAATTGTTGAAGATGGAGTAAAACAACTTAAAAAAAAAAAATCCCCTCCTCTCCTTTCCACTCCTTTGGGCTCTGCTTCCAACATGGCAGGATCCAGTTGCCAAGTGGCACATGCATTTTTCAGTTTCAGCAAATCAGCATCGCTTCGGGGTTACAAAAAGTGGGGGAGGAAACAGCGACAATAATAGACAACTGCAAACCATCAGAATGATGAGCTGATCAATATGCAAAGTCCCGTGGCTGTCCAAAACACTGGCTAACTTTTGTGTGCCTGGTGCAGGAAAAGATTCATTGCTGATGTCCGTAGTATTGAACTGGAGTCACTGTTTCCTCGCAGAACCTCCATTCTTGTGCAAGGCATCTTCTCTTCTCCACACCAACCATTCTTTGTAGGACTCCGTTTGTAAGCACCAAGAGCACGCAACGTGCAGGCTGTGCTAAAAAGTAGACAGGACCGGGGCAAGCCCTATATTTGATTTAATAAAGTTTTAATTTAATTAAGTTAATGTTCATCCAGCTAATTCAATAATCCCCCATGGGTTGAATATCTACCTCCTCCTACCCCACTTAAAAAGACAAATGGGTGACCATTTCTTGAGGTGACCCCCAAAGCTTGTGGGGACTACATATGGCTGTAGTGTCTCAGCTTAAGCACCCCTGGTTTATATTTTATTCCTGTTAGTAGCATTTTTGGTGCCTTTCTATTTCTATCTTTTCCCATCCTTTCTATGCGGAAATATATGTTCAGGTAATTCCCCCATTAAACCCATTTACAGCTTCTGCGATAGCCATCTGGGGATATTAACTCCACTGGTGATAAAACAATTATTTTATAAGCAATTAACATTTTGCACTCAGTGTCATTGCTCTTTGGTCAAACAGAAGCATGATGCCCAACCCTTTCATGCTTGAGGGCACAGCAATGTCTCCAAAGTCAGCTTGACCTCAAAATAGGTCATCAAGTTAAAGGCAAAGGACCTCAATTTGACTCCACTCTACCAGGAATAAATAATTGAAAAGACTTGCTGGTAAAACATGGATTCCTTCCTTTCACTGGATGTTGCTTTTGGGGAAGGGAGGAACTTTCACCCTGGAAAATATTTGCCTACCTTGTATAAAGTAATGTTTCTCACACTTATTTCCAACTCTTCCAGTAGTTGAGACTCATAGCTGTGGGAGGTATTTTATTCACCTTGTTATTCACCCCCAGCTTAGTGCTGGAATGTGAAATTGTAAACATATCATTTTGAGAATAGTTCCTGATTGGAAGCAACTGATATGGAATAACTCTTATATTAGTATAATGAGTAACTGCAGAGTATCTTGGCAACTGGAAATGGTGGCCCCATTTAGGTAGGTTACGTAAAGAAAGATCTGATGGAAAAAGGGATTTTCAGGAAAAGTGATACGACACTGGACTTTTTTTCCCCTTCAGTCTCCCAACCAAGGATCTCAATAGCTTTACCATCAGGGAGGGAAGGAGGGAGGGAGAGTTTTGAGGGACTTCCAGACTTCCAGAGGGACTTCCAGGTCTTGAGGAACTTCCAGAAAATTCTCCGGAAGTCCCTCAAGACCTGGCTTTGTCATCAGGCTGGGGGTTCCAGGGGACCGGTGAAATCCTGTTAATCTAATTTCTTTATGCTTTCTTAATAAGAATTGTTTTTAACATGTTTATTGTTTTATATCTTTGTTGTATGGTACCCAGAGTCACTTCTTGTGAGGTGGGCAGCCATATAATTTTGATAGATAGATAGATAGATAGATAGATAGATAGATAGATAGATAGATAGATAAGAGTTTTCCTAGCAAACAATGGCAAAAACAAGGCCATGGCTCCTTGAGAACTGGAGTTTTCTTGAGGTTATTTTCCTAGGGCTACTGTAGAAGTTTATTTACTTACTTCTTTACATTGGTTTATATGCACTTCAGTCATGACCAGCCCCGAGTGGCTTACACTCCCACTCATAATAACCAAGATGAAAACAATTACACAACAAAAGATAACCATAAAATTCTATCACATCATACCAAGGGGGGGGGGGGACAAATCCCAAGGGCCTTTGGAAATAGCCAGGTTTTAATGGTTTTCGTGAACCTAGCAAGGTAGATGCCAGCTTGGGAGCTTGGGGTTAAGAGTATGGAAAGAGGGGGAGGGAAGATCGTGTTCAGTACAGGGAAATGCAAAAAAAAAAAAATGTAGACCGGCACATGAATGAGATGGGCTTTTTCCACCTTTTGTGGCAGAAGGGAGTGGGGTAGTATAGCTCGTTCAAAGCCAGTGGAACAAAAATGTCAGAAGGGGAGATCTTCTGTAGCAACTTGTACAATCTGTACTTTGCGTTCAGCTACAGTTCCAATGGTGTAAAACGTAAGTGTGGAATTATTCCCCCAATGGTGATTTTCTTCTTGAACTCTATGCTAACAGTGGCTGTTTTTCTTGGTCTTCTTCCAATATCCTATAAGGAGAAGAAGATAAAAAAAAGACAAGCTTTTCAGAATGATATTTAGCCAGCAAGAACATAGACCTTTGGCTTGTTCGCTGCGAAGAAACTTGTATTTAACTTTGGCTTAACATCCAGCTTTTACTTAAGCTTTTAGTTCTCCTTCTGTGAGTCAGTGTTTTGATTTTCCTCACAGGAGGAATCCCGATGCCACGACTTGCCGCCTATGGATCATCTAAAGCAGCGCTGACCATGTTTTCTGGAGTCATGAGGCAGGAACTATCAAAGTGGGGCATTAAAGTTGCTGTTCTTCAGCCCTCAGGCTTCAAAACAGGTAAGTCATGATATTTCACTCCATCTTCCTCTAGACTCAGAAGAAAAGAAAACTCCATCGAAACCAGCTTTCTCAATCCAAAATCAGAAATTGGCCCTGAGTCATCTGTTTTATCCCTAGCAAAGGCTAAATCCTGCTTTTGCTTTTTAAGATCCTAGATGCAATTTGTCCCAACCATAAGATGCAAAACACATTATTTCCAAGAGTTGCAAGTGGTCTTTTTTAAGAGAAGGTTTTAATTATATATTCTTTCATGGCCCAGATCAACCAACAACAAATTTTGTATTCACAAATACCACTCATTCTGGGAGCTGAACTGAACAGACTTTCCTGCCACCTCCTCTGTATTTTTTCATATTGCATTCTTGTAGGAATAACTTCTGAGGTGAAATCAAACAGGCTAGACATTCCAAAAATGAATTTGTTGGTTTTCTAGCAATCGGGGGGAATCCTGAAGAATGGAATAAGGAGGAACAGAACCTTCTGGAGAACCTAACTCCAGATGTGAAGAAAGATTATGGTGAGGATTACGTCCATAACATGAAGATATTCCTTAGTCAGATGTCTTCTCTGTGCTCATCCGATCTCTCACCTGTGTCCTCTGATGTTCTACATGCTTTACTGGCTAAGCATCCAAAAGGTTTATACACTCCAGGCAGCAATAGTTACACATTCCTTCTTATGTTCTGCTATTTTCCTCTCTGGTTTTATGACTTTTTCATGAGCAAAATCATGAATAACCCTAATGTGCCTTATGCGCTCGGAACAGCAGAGACAAAAAACAGTTTGTAAGGTGAGTAGGAAGTCCATGCCTCCTTCAAAAATGAAGATAGCAGTCCACCACATTTTTGATGATTTGTGGCCTCTATTTGGTAAGTTATTCAGCTAATTATGGGAGATAGGACAGGTGTAAATAATACACAGATGTAAAGATAGATATAAATGTAAGCATAGATTTAGGGTGGTTCAGAAAAAGGGAGTTTTAACTTTATAATCACTAATATCTCATGATAATACTTGGTACATTTCATCTTTGTTTTGAGATAGAGAGTAGCTTTTCCTGGAATTTTCCATTGTATTTTATGGCAATGCTGAAAAATGTCTTCCCTTTTCCAAAGATTCATATCTAATTTTTCATACCTTTTGCTTGCCCTAATCAAATCAATACACATTGGGGCAACATATCAGGGTGGCCATCATGTACCCTATATCCTTTGTTCCGATGATCTTGCTCAGGAGTTTATAAAAGACAAAGGAAATCATGCTTACCTGAAGAACTCCTCCTGAAAACTCTAGGGGAAGAATGTGAACTCAGTCTATGCATTTACATACTCTAATTACATGGAATCTTTATTACTAATCAGAAACCCAGCAAAATGCAGAAATCCCTACTGCTTCTATAGATGAATGCTTATAGGCTATGTTCAGGAACTCAGAACCATGTGAAGATTTAGGGAGTAGAGTCTGGTCTATTGCACTGCCTCAACCATATACTGAATGTGAACCGTGATAGGGTGTGACCACCATAATGTTAATCCAAGCAGTAGAGATAGATGATAGATAGATAGATAGATAGATAGATAGATAGATAGATAGATAGATAGATAGATAGATAGATAGATACTTATTTTTAAAAGAGATTTCCATTGTGCCAAAATGGTTGGATGGCTGGTCTGGGAAATGGAGAGACTATTTGGTTCAACCCTCTACATGACTGTTTCTTGGGATACAGTGTTTCTACCATAAATCTATAAAGGAAGTGTGAATGCAAAATGTTCAGATTGAGCTTCTTCGTTTAGTTGACATATCCATCACTTGTCTGTCAGTGGGAAGAACTACCTCACCAATTTGGGAATTCCCCAGGGACACAATTCCATATTCACCGAGTTCATCTTAGGTTCGATTGACCCAGGCCACACCAGAATATAGCTCGGTTAGGTTTGTGCCGGTTTCAAGATACAACTTGAAAAATGAATGCGCACCCTCCTGTTGCATGCTAAGAAATAACAATGAGTTTGTCCTTTGTGCCATTTTATGCTTGATGCTGCCACTCTGAGTCAACTTGACATGAGTTGAACAGAAGGAACAACTGATATCTGACCAGGTTTTTAAATTACTTGATGGAATGGCCAGATCAAAAATGAGTCAACCGAAGGGATCATAAGTTTGTCATTAATGGTAAAAGTCAAAGATTGTACTATGCCTGGACTGGCTCCAAGAGTTCCATGCCAAGCAGGAGGCTAAGAAAAAGACTTAGGCACATCTGTTTTGCAGATAGTGGCTAGCATAAATTGTTTCCTGCACACTAGGTTTAAGGAAATGCATGCCATTATCTCTTTAAGTGTCATTGTTTTAGACTGCCAGTCAGATTTTTGTGAGAAGAGTTAACAGGCCAGCCTGTGATGGCATCCATGTGTGGCTGCCCAACTTCCCTCCACCTTCTTCGGTATTTATTAATCTATTTATTGCAGCCCCTGGAACCTCCTGAGGTCACGTGGATGAAGTCTTAATGCTTAATCATTGGTGGGGTGATTTCCTACAGATTTCTGAGCCCCAGAAAGAGGCAGGATAAACTGTTGGATATCTTTTCATACCTTATGGGGAAGGAAGGAAGGAAGGAAGGAAGGAAGGAAGGAAGGAAGGAAGGAAGGAAGGAA